TCCAGACTTCACTTAGCAAACACAGTTAGTAATAGATGATACAACTGTTTTCTCGCAGATGGATATTCCATGAATACTCGTTTCATCGAGATTTTCTCGCTTACTTCGCATGCTGATGAAATTGTAAACATGTTTCTATTGCGTTTTACAAATTCAAACGAAATACGTTTTTCTCGATAATTACGCGATCAACGCATTTTAAAATATGAAACATGTTTTAACGGATGTATATTAAGTTTTTCCGATATTTAATGTTAAAATTTTTTATCAGAAAATTTAACTTAAAGAGAATATAAATGTATGTGTAGTTACATGTCTAGTATCAATTAACTCGCAATGATAAGTTCGGAAGCCCTGAGATTGACACTCGTATGGCTTTAGTCGATGCATCGATTTTCATGGCAATCAATAGCGAGTACTGGAAGTATGTGAGTCTTAAGTCCGACTATATACCTATGTTTTCTTAAATAAGATAGATACAATGTAAACTAATATGGAGAGATACAGTGTAAACTAATATAAAAGTAAATTTTTTTCACTTACATAGAGTTACATTCCAGAGGAATATGTAGTAAACTGTGCACATATACATTTTGTGTGTGTGTGTGTGTACATACAGAAGTTAACACAAAAAATGTGTCATTTACGCAGCTCCCGTTTTGCTTAAATATCAAAACTTGATTAAATAAACTACTTAAGTAAATTTATTCACTAAATCGATAAACTTGCAATAACTAAAAGTCGCATTTTAAGCTTGTTACTTATTTGTGTCAGCACACTGTTGTCTGTGTATTCTCTCTTCGCGTGGTTGACAGATATAAAAATTATATCTTTATTTTTCTTCTCTCATATGTCAAGTGAGAAAAAAACAAGAAGTTAACATATGTGCACACGTAATATATAATGTGTGTGATAATGTGTATATTCTATATAAACTGTTTATTTATTCAAAAACTTTATTAATACTTTAGTGTACACGTTTAATGTCTGTAATTCCATGCATTATTATTTTTGCTTAACGTGTATCGCGTAAACAATCAGAGACGTTCCGCGTTTTCTTTATACCTGTGTTAAAAAGTTTACACTTCTAACGCGAGTTTGCACTAGTTTATATATGTGAATAATCGTTCGTGGGCAGATAGAGGAGGTTATACTGAGTCAAAAAATCCTTTACTTCGCGAGATTTGCAATAACTGACGAGATCTTAATTAATAAAAATCCGCGAATAAGCATGCAACGGGCTGTCTTACGCGGAAGACAGCCCAGCGCGTTTCACGGTTGTTGTCTGTAACAACAGTATAGGAGGAATAATGCTAATATAACAGTATACAGTTGCGAACAAAATTGAGTGGATACGTAGTAGAAATAGTTATAAATGAGATATAGTCGAAATAGTACCGTTATATATTTAAGTTTTTGTATATTATATATCCTTATAGTACATAGAATATTTAGTGAATAATTCCAATTAATCTTTATACTTTTCTATACACAAATCATACTTAACGAAAAAAAGTCTGCAAATTGTCAAGAGATACAAATAAAGTGGACACATAACAAAACGTGAGATTAATAGTAGTTTTTATCATTTAGTATGTTTGTCTTTTGCTTGAATTACTGCTTCCAAACGTCGTGAAAAACTATTTATTAAGTTTTCAATATAATCTTTGCTGATATTTTAAATGCTAATTGTAAAGCTTTAAAACAGTCAATCGTATTATTCCGTTTTTCCAATGACAATTTTACGTCTAATTCAGTCCATAATTTTCTATGAGATTCGGATCTAGACTCTGTGCTGGCCATTCAAGCAATTTAATGTTTGCATCTTGAAAAAATTTTTGTGTTTTCATTATCTTGAACCAAATTCTTTGTCATGATCCATTTTTAAGACGATTTCTTCTAAATTTTCATTTATTATATCAATATATTTGTCGGCATTCATTATTTCATCAGTTGGCATTAAAGTGTCGACTCCATTCCATGACAAACATCCCCATACCATCAACTCTCCATCAAATTTAACCATTGGTGTTATAAACGGCTTCTTGTACGCTTTATTTTTCTTTCTCCACATTTTCTGCTTGGTTTTTAATCGCCGCATCTCGAATTTACTTTCATCATTCCACACTATTGTTTTCCAGAATGACAGTGACATGTTGACATATTTTTTAGCAAACGCTAAATGTTTCTGCATTTGTTTTATTAATGTACGTCTACTTTTGCAGCATTTTAATCCAGCCTCGTATAGTCTCCGTCTTATTATTTTTGATGACACATTTAATTTTAAGGTTTCTTGAATATTTCGCGAGGCAATGTTTGGATTTTGTCGACATTGTCGAATAATTAGCCGATCTTGTTTTATAGTGGTACAACGTTTGCGACCTCTTAAATTTTCTACTGTATTGTGTAATAAATATTTTTTATAAACTTTTTGTGTTGCACTTTTGAATACACTGTACTTCTTTGCTATCACACAATAACTCAATCTATTGCGACAGTTCAAAACAATCAAATGACGAACTTGATATGACATTTCTTTTCTTTCGGACTTTCTGCTAATTGTTCTGCCTTGTATAAAGCCTAGACTTGAACTAAACGGATAGTTTGTTTACGTTTATATAGCGATAACTACGCTTTATGTTTGTTTACGTTTCTTATTATTGGAATAATCGACCGTTCATTTATTTGACAGTTTCGTTAGGTATAGTTTGTGTGTAGAAAAATGTAAATATTAATTTGAGTTATTCACTAAATATTCTATGTATTGTAAGGATATATAATACAGAATTTAAATATATAACGGTAATACTATTTTGACTAACTTTCGTTACTCATTTATAACTATTTCCATTACTTGTCCGCTCAATTTTGTCCACCAGGCGCGTTTTTAAGACTGGTAAAACTTCGGTGCAAGGACAAAGATGAGAGGGCCCTTTAATTAATAATAATAATAATAATAATAATAGTAATAATAATAATTATTATTATCATTATTATTATTATTGTTATTATTATT